TGGGGCTGTAGTTGGGGGAGGTCGGGGTGTAGTTGGGGCTGGTGGGGCTGTAACTGGGAGAAGTGGGGCTGTAACTGGGAGAAGTTGGGGTATAGTTGGGGCTGGTGGGGCTGTAGTTGGGGCTGGTGGGGCTGTAACTGGGAGAAGTAGGGCTGTAACTGGGAGAGGTTGGGCTGTAGCTGGGGGAAGTCGGGCTGTAACTCGGAGATGTCGGACTGTAACTGGGTGAGGTGGGGCTGTAACTGGGTGATGTCGGGCTGTAACTGGGCGAGGTGGGGCTGTAACTGGGTGACGTCGGGCTGTAACTGGGAGAGGTCGGACTGTAACTGGGGGAAGTCGGGCTGTAGCTGGGTGATGTTGGGCTGTAGCTGGGCGAGGTCGGGCTGTAACTGGGTGAGGTCGGGCTGTAGCTGGGTGATGTTGGGCTGTAGCTGGGTGACGTCGGGCTGTAGTTGGGCGATGTCGGGCTGTAGCTGGGCGACGTCGGGCTGTAGCTGGGCGACGTCGGGCTGTAGCTGGGGCTCTGTGGGGTGTAGCCCCCAGGTGAGCGCGGCTCGTAGGCAGGTGATGTCGGGCTGTAGCTGGGTGACATGGCGCCGCCTGCAGAGAGAACATAGCAGGGTGACAGGAGGCCCCCCAGACAGGTGTTGTGGGGTGCTATCGGGTGTTGTAGGGGTATTGTGTGGCACTGTGGGCTGTTGTGGGGCGTTGTGGGGGTTGTTGTAGGGTATTCGGGGTGTTGTGGGGGGTGTTGTAAGCACTAGGGGTGTTATATAGGGTGTTGTGAGGTTCTGCGCAGGCATTGTAGGGTGTTGGGAGTGTTGTGGGGGTGTTTGGGGGGCAGTGGGGTGTTGTCCAGGGTTATAGTATCTTGTGGGGCATTGTAGGGTGTTGGGGGAGTGTTTTGGGGGTGCTGGGGTGTTGTGCGGTGGGTTGTGGGGGTGTTGTCAGGTGATGTTGGGTTTTGTAGGGGATTGGAGGGTGTTGGGGGCATGTGGTGCTGGTGGTGTGGGGATGTTGCAGCATGTTGTCAGGGCGTTGGGGTGTTGTAGGGGTGTGGAGAGGGGATTGAAGAGCACTGTAGCGTGTTGTGGAGTTGGGGGGTGTTGTGGGGCATGGCATAGGGTATTGTGTTGTTGGGGTGTTGTGGAGGGGTTGTGGGGGCATTGTAGGGGTGTTGTGGGGGTCCTGTAGAGTGTTGTAGGGTATTTTGGGGCATTGGGAAGTGTTTTGGGGTGTTGTACTCACCTGGGGAGGGGATGTAGGGGCTGGAGGGCCCCGGGGAGCCGGGAGAGCCAGGGGTGGGCGACCACGCTGGGGAGTAGCCGGGGCTGAAGCCACTGGCATCGGAGGCGGCGCTGGGGGAGAAGCCGGCACCCCCCGGGGTCATGCCGCTACCTGGGGGAGGGGGTGGTGTGTCAAAAATGGGCGGTCAGGACCCCCAAAACTGCCCTAGAGACCCCAAATCTACCACAAGGACACCCCCCCTTCCGTTTGCCTCCAGGATCCCAAATCCACCTCGGGTGCGCCCCAGTCTGCCCCAGGGACCCCAGTATGCCCCCCCCACCTGCTCCTGGGACCCCAAAACTGCCCCTAGGACGCCAAATCTGATCCCAGACTGCCCCAGGGACCACCAATTTTCCCTCCAGTCTACCCCAGGGACCCCGTTCTGTCCCAAAGCCCCCCCAGCACTCTCCCAGTCCACCTCAGTCCCTCTTAACAGCCCCCCCAAACTCTCTAACCCATCTCAGAGTCCCCCAAAACACCCCAGCCCCCCAACAGCCCCC